GTCACGTAAAAGATGTATGGTCCAACCTGCTACAGTTGGAGATATTCTGTTCTTAAATAAGGCCCTAAAATAAACCCTGGCTTCAATTATTGCAATAGACATCGACTTCAACAAAAATCACTTTGGCTCTTCCACAAAGAAACAGAAAAAAAAATTCAATAAGTGAAATTATATTGCATGATTTGGCTCCCAATAAGTAAACTAGATTCCAAGGGCTACCCCCACCCCCCCATAAAAAGAAGGAGAAGAAAAATTGACTTTAAACTGAAACTTTGAATAATAATTTTTAAAAAGTGAAAGGCTTGGTTGCTTTAAGAACAATAGTTCACATTTCCCACAGCGAGGTGTGCATGGAAGGTGAGTCTGAGTTGTCTGAGGGATGTATATGAAGTAGGAAAATCATCTCTGGAAGGTCTGAATTGCAAGAAGAGTGAAGAGTGGAATGATGAGCAAGAAGTAAATTCAAATAAACGTGTCTATATAACGTAGTGTTAGTATATGTTAATTGAGGATAAATAGAAAAGACATAACTGTTTCTAAGACATCTGGGCTTTGAAGTATAGAGTGCTGGAAAGAGCCTCAAAAATACATGTAAGGAAATACTTTTTTTTTTTCTGAGGCACTTCCTAAGTTGCATATGCAGAAGGTGGGACTCCAGAAGGCTGAAGAGACAACGGGTTCTGGAAGGTGGAGAGCTGAGCAGATATTTCAGAAGATATCCAGAGCTGGAAGACAGTGGCTTTCAGACCCAGTTACAATGGAGAGACGCTGGTGAGTGTGCTGTGATTCCCACCAAGACCTGGGAAAGGACATGCACTCTAACAATGACCAAGTGCCTGGGCTCCCTAAGAGGGAAGGCAAAGCTGAAAGAGACCCTAGAAAACCTTACAGTCAAACCCACTAGAATAAAACTCGACACTGTTTATAGGAAGATAACATAATCCAGAGCCTCTACCCTAAAGCATCCACTATGATCCACACGAACCCCTTTATAATCTACTTTAGAAGTCTTCTAATTACTCATTCCACAGAAATCTTTCTCCCTTCTGGTCTGTACTGCTACCAGTGTTTTTGTACCAAAATACACATTTCATCATGTTGGCTCATTTGGAGTAGAACCACTGGCTAAGTGCTGCCTAAAGGTTTGTCCAAAGTCCTTTCCATGTCTCACAAAAGTTTCCATCATCTGGCTGCTGCCAGTTCTTGACGAGAATTCAGAGATGACACCCACTCAGAATTGGGAGGGAATCACACTGGTTGTCCTTCTTGAGGATACTGGAGGAGTCTACAGTGCACAAGCCTCCTACGATGCACTGATCCTCCCCCATCCTCTCTTTCTAGCTCATCTGTTGTCATGAACTGTCAAGCTCTTCCAATTTTTGTTGTTGTTGCTGTTAAACATGTAACCCACTGATTATTTGAATTTCCTNTCTTCCAATTTTTGTTGTTGTTGCTGTTAAACATGTAACCCACTGATTATTTGAATTTCCTATTGATCTTAGAAACCTTTCCCTTTCCCTCTCTTTTACTCTTGTGCTAATCAAACCTTTCTAGCAAGAGTGTGTTTTCAATGTTATGTACAATATGTACCGATTTCTACATCAGAGAAAGGCAGGGAGTAGCTCCTTCCATTAGTTAAGATCTTCAGTGCATGGGTCAGGGTCCTTAATTGTTTGTGAGTCCTAGTACTCCACTGACTGTACTGTGAGCCCCTGCCCCAGCTAAGTAGAATTCTGTGAGACTTCTGTGTGTATAAAATGTACAGCTGCCCCACCGGGTGTACTGGCAGGCTGTGCTACAGACTTCAACTCCATCAGGGGCCCCACAGAGAATGGAGAGCAGAGCCTTGGGGCACAGGTGAACATGTTGCCCCCACAGCTTCCTGGCTGGGCCAGGAGGTTTGTGCACAGGGACGTGGTGACTCTGCAGGGCTGTGTCTTGGCTGCTGGCGCAGAGATACACGGCAGAATCATCTGGCTCTGGGGAATTGATGTGAAGATTTAAATGAGCTTTGTCTGGAGCTTCAGGTGAGAAGCGACTTGGAACTGTTTCATTTAAAATGAGTTCCTTATTATTGTAGGTAAACATAATCTCCAGTAATCGTTTGGAGTCCTGCTTATACCAGTACATAGCATCATGACCCAGATTTTGTTCACATTTAAGGGACTCCTTATTTCCCATCCATGTGATGAGGTATTTGGGACTCTGTGAAATGGCTGTGTCCAAGGGCCCTGTGAAGGAAAGAAGCAGAATTCAGACACATCCCAGGAGGTTAGTAGCCTGTTGCTGTAGGCGTGGTGGAAGGGCTTAGAACCCAAACAGGATCATGCCACCTGAGCGCAGGACTCACCCACCCCCAGGAGGCACAGAGCTACACAGCAGAGGAGCCAGGAGCTCATGGCAGCGTCAGGGAAGACCAGGCAGGCTTCAAGCTCAGGATTCTGGTCTGCAGTGGGGAGAGANTCTTCCAATTTTTGTTGTTGTTGCTGTTAAACATGTAACCCACTGATTATTTGAATTTCCTTTTGATCTTAGAAACCTTTCCCTTTCCCTCTCTTACTCTTGTGCTAATCAAACCTTTCTAGCAAGAGTGTGTTTTCAATGTTATGTACAATATGTACCGATTTCTACATCAGAGAAAGGCAGGGAGTGGCTCCTTCCATTAGTTAAGATCTTCAGTGCATGGGTCAGGGTCCTTCATTGTTTGTGAGTCCTAGTACTCCAGTGACTTTACTGTGAGCCCCTGCTCCAGCTAAGTAGAATTCTGTGAGACTTCTGTGTGTATAAAATGTACAGCTGCCCTACCGGGTGTACTGCCAGGCTGTGCTACAGACTTCAACTCCATCAGGGGCCCCACAGAGAATGGAGAGCAGAGCCTTGGGGCACAGGTGAACACGTTGCCCCCACAGCTTCCTGGCTGGGCCAGGAGGTTTGTGCACAGGGACGTGGTGACTCTGCAGGGCTGTGTCTTGGCTGCTGGCGCAGAGATACACGGCAGAATCATCTGGCTCTGGGGAATTGATGTGAAGATTTAAATGAGCTTTGTCTGGAGCTTCAGGTGAGAAGCGACTTGGAACTGTTTCATTTAAAATGAGTTCCTGATTGTTGTAGGTAAACATAATCTCCAGCAATCGTTTGGAGTCCTGCTTATACCAGTACATAGCATCATGACCCAGATTTTGTTCACATTTAAGGGACTCCTTATTTCCCATCCATGTGATGAGGTATTTGGGACTCTGTGAAATGGCTGTGTCCGAGGGCCCTGTGAAGGAAAGAAGCAGAATTCAGACACATCCCAGGAGGTTAGTAGCCTGTTGCTGTAGGTGTGGTGGAAGGGCTTAGAACTCAAACAGGATCATGCCACCTGAGCGCAGGACTCACCCGCCCCCAGGAGGCACAGGGCTACACAGCAGAGGAGCCAGGAGCTCATGACAGCGTCAGGGAAGACCAGGCAGGCTTCAAGCTCAGGATTCTGGTCTGCAGTGGGGAGAGACCAGCTGCAGTCTCCTCTACCACGAGAGGTGCGTTGCCTGTGATGTCACAACCTGCAATCACTTCCCCTTTCTCAGAGTCTACTTTTTAACGTGGTCTCCTTTTTGATGTCCTGCACTTGCTCTTTTCAAAGTTATGTTTGGAATTTTCAGTGATGGTCTGAGTTGGGTGGGCATGTTTCCTCCTGGACATGTCTCTGACAATCATTCTTATACCAGCAGCTGCCCCCTTCCCTTTCATTACCCCAGGATCCCTGCTTCTTCCTTTCAGGACCCCCTCTCAGAGGCAGGCTAGTTTCCCTTCTCTTGCCCAAAGGATATAAAGAAACAAATAATCTCATCCTTTATACCTTCTTTTCTGGCAGGGCTGGCTAAACTGGAGAAGGGGAAGACTCTGCAGAAAGGAGAGAGGGCTGATGCTGGGATTCCTGGCAAGAACCAGGCTTTATTCAAGAAAGTAAAGGAGGGAAGGAAGATATGCTAATTTTATCATGGAGATGACATAATCCACAAAAAGATGGAGAGTCATAGGATTGGTGGGAATGAGGCAGAAGGCTAGAGAGGAACTAGAACCAATGGGCAGTGGGATGAATGATGTCACGATGCATATTTTGAAAACTGGTCATATTTTTGGCTGTTCAATATTTAAATCCCTTCTTATATTTGGGCAATTTCCCAAAGTTTGGGTCTTAGTGAGGAAGGCATGTGTGCTTGTACGTTTTCTAAGCAAAATATTCCTCCTATTCTAGAAACAAAATTTCTATCACTGCCTTTGCTTTTTGTCACTTCCATGAGAACACAACTGCACCCAGCAGAGCTGTCTCCTTCCAGCAGCTCCCTAAGAGCTCAGGGGGAAGCTGTGCTATGTGCTCTGACAGAAGAGGATAGAAAGAAAACCTCCTGTGTCCAATCGTGTCAAATATAGACACAAAGAATCCCATGAAGATTTCAGTTTCACCAGATTCTGTCTCTCTTTTCAGTGATGCTCACAATTGGCTTCTCAGGTATGCAAGGAGACAAAGAAAACTAGCATCCCTAGTTACTGGTGGCTCTGAGAATAAAAAAAAAATCCCCTTTTTTGCTGAGAAAAATACAAGAGCCAATACACACATCCTCTGATGCAATCATATGCCTGCAATCGGACCAATGGCTGCCGGTTTTCCAAGTGGAAATTCAGTTCAAAAACAATTAGGACATCCTGTTACAGATCGTCTGTCCTTCACCTTTACAAATCATTGGTCCAAGTTATTTGCCTGTTTAGCTATTGAAATTGCATCTGTCCACAGCCCCAGGAACTCACATCACAGCAGGACAGGGCTGAGCTGAGGCAGAAGCCCCACCTCATATCCTCTCTATTCCTCTAAGGAACAGGTCCTCCACCTTCACGGGCCTGCGGATACCCCCCTCTCCAGCTCAAACCCTCTTCATTCCCAATCCCATGCATGCTCACATGCAACAAGTCTGACAGTCCAGGCTTCTTGCTGAGACAAGAACACCTGCACACCAATGCAAAGTGAATAGTCAGTATCTCACCCCTCACATTTCAGCATTGACTCTCAGCCTCTGCAGACCACATTTTCCTGTGTTGCAAATAAATTCAAACTTTCTCTTAACCCTCTCCCATCCAAAGATTTATCTTAGCCCCTTCTCAGTTTCCTGAATCTCAGTAGAATCACAGCTCCTCCTTGTGGCCAAAGGATCAAAAAAATGCCAGGACTCAGTCCTGCAGTAGGCCAAGGGCAGCAGGGTGGCAGAGGTCTTAGAAATAGAGACACACATGGGAGGGAGGGTAAAGGGTTTTAATTAGCCCCTGCCCCTCCCTTCTAAAGCTTAATTCTCAGTAGGTACACAGCTGAGGAACCTGGGAAAGGCAGGAATAGGACGCTCCAAGATCAGGCTTCAAGTTATCTGGAAGAAAGCCCTCCATCCACACTGCCCAGGGCTGTTTCATGTACATCATTGTCTCTGAGGCATCCTCAACCTTAGAGGCAACTTTCACAAGAAAAGAGAAGGGGCCGTAGTCCCAGGAAGACCCAAGTCGGACCAGGACTGCCTCTCCCACACAGCCTGTGAGATCTGATAAAGCACATGGTCTTAATCCCAGGCCAGGAAGTAAGCTATGGGTTCTGGAGGGACTTTCTGGGAATTTTAAAAGCTAGGAATAGAAAGCCCAGGAACAGAGACTGAAATATTACCATTCAATAGTCTTTCTCTTAGTGTTAATAATTTTTGAGGAAAATATCAGACTCATAGATTCTGCAAAGAATGAAGTGTTTTAGTTGTTCTCAACCAGAGATTGTGGATGCCATATATTGGGGGGATATGTGTACACGTGTAGAGGTGTTTTGATTATCACAGTTTTTGAAGATGTCCTAAACTTTATGCAATGTATAACAAACTTCCATTCAAAATAGAAATGTTCCATCCCAAATGTCAATCGAGCCCCTATCTACAAACACTGAGAGTAAAGACGTAAAATGACAGAAATTCACTAGCCCTGTGTTTTGGAAGAATCTGGGAAGTGCCTGTTTCCTCATTTAGAGAGTCAGGGAAGATATCACAGAAATCAATAAAGCCAAAAATTTGGAGGAAAGAGTTTAAGCGACAGGATTTAACACGGGGTTACTAGAACAAGTGACAGGAGGCTTCACTTCTGCCTCTCTTCAGGCTGCTTCCACCTAAAGTATAAACACGCTCAAATGTACCCCACTTTAAAAAATATAAAAACTGGCTTTCAGAGTTAGTAGACTGGATTGTTGCAGAAGAACACTCTCACCAAAAACAACTAGAAAAGTTTATACAAATATAAAATATATATATATTTAAAGGCATTTGAAGCCACTGAGGCCGTAAGAACTTAAGAGATTGCTCTCTCAAAGAATAAATCTGACAAACCAGTTTTTCCTTAAAGCCATTTACCAATTTAATATCATCAGCTAAAGAGCTGAGAAGAAAGAGCAGACTGAAATGGCAAGAGGCTTAGAAGACTGTCCATCACCTTTCCGGTCTGGAGAACGCATATACGTTCAGGGACTACTGAAAAGGAGAGGATCCTGGTAAAGCCCCCAGGCCCTGGGGCTGGAGGTGGGAGCAGGAATTGACTGAAAATGACCACAAAGGAACTGTTGGAGCCGGTGGAAATGTTTTAGAAGTAGATCATGGTGATAGTCGCACGATGACAAAAATTGTTAAAACTTATTGAATTGTACTTTGAAATGAGCAAATATTATGTTGTGTAAATTACACTTTAATAGAGCTGTTAAAAATACTTCAGACATTTTGTTTGGAACTTGAATGGCTATACTCTAAGTGTAACGGTGAACAGCCATCACAAAGGCTGAATAGCTTGAGTCCAGGTCAATCATGACCTAAATTCAGGTGACCTGCCCCTGTGACAATTTCCTGGCAGAAGCAAAAATGAATCCTTTCTGCAGGATGATGGAATGATTCAGAACCTCAAATTATCTCTATAATTCTTTATATACCATATCTGGCTTTTAAACAAATTACTGGGTGAGTGAGGAAACAAGATCACATGACCAAAAACCAAGAAGAGAAAACAGGCAAAAGAAATAGACCCTAACAGGTTCAGATATTAGAGTTATCACAAACTGATTTTAAATAACTGACATTAATATATTCAACAAAGTAAATTTATAAATGAAGAATCACAAACTGATTTTAAATAACTGACATTAATATATTCAACAAAGTATATTTTTAACAGACAGCTTGAAACTGTAGTCTAGATTTAAATGAAAATTCTAGACCTGAAATATACAAAACATCTAAAATTGAGAATTCAATATATATGTTTAAAAGAAGAATGGATAAAGCTGACAAGAATAAACTGGAAAATAAGTCAAATGAAAATATCCACACCAAATCAGAGAAACAAAATGATAGAA